CCTCCCGGGTTCACGCCATTCTCCTGCCTCAGCCTCCCGAGTAGCTGGGACTACAGGCGCCCGCCACCTCGCCCGGCTAGATTTTTGTAGTTTTTTTTTTAGTAGAGACGGGGTTTCACCGTGTTAGCCAGGATGGTCTCGATCTCCTGATCTTGTGATCTGCCCGTCTCGGCCTCCCAAAGTGCTGGGATTACAGGCTTGAGCCACCGCGCCCGGCCCATTTTTCTTTTTTCCTTTTTTTTAAGAGACAATATCTCACTCTGTTGCCCAGGCTGGAGTGCAGTGGCACAATCATAGATCACTGCAGCCTCAAACTTCTGGACTCAAGCAATCCTCCTGCCTCAGCCTCCTGAGTAGCTGGGACTACAAGAACACACCACCATGCTCGGCTACTTTTTTTTGTATTTTGTAGAGATGGGGGTCTCACTATGTTGCCCAGGCTGGTCTTGAACTCCTGGCCTCAAGCGATCCTTCCACCTTGGCCTCCGAAAGCTCTGGGATTACAGGCGTGAGCCACCACGCCCATCCCATTTTTCTTTTATTTGTCTCTTTGCTTTCTCTGTTCATTGAGCATTTCAGTGCTCTGAGGGGGTCCCCTGGCCTGGGGGTGTGTAATGGGGGTCCTGATAATAGGCATATGGGGAGAAGGAGACCCTGAGGGCCAGGTTGGTGCAGAAACCCTCTCCACAAGCAGACCGGGGGGTGTCACACCCTCCCATTCCTATGAGACCACTGAGCCTCCTAGAGGGTGATGTCCCACCCAGAGTCCCACGGCTCCAGAGGTCCGGCCACACTGCAGTCTCAGTGGGTCCCAGCCGGCATGGCTGACCCCACCCTGGGCAACACTCCCTGACGACTCAAGGCCAAATCTTCCCATTGGGGTTGCCGGCCTCAACTTACTCTCTGTCCTTGGCCAAATGCCCCTTCCTGGGCCTTGGTCCCTTGGCTCTGGAGAAAACAGTTGGCCCAGGGCTCTCGGAGATCCTGGAGGCTTAGGCAGTCCCTGTGTCCGTGGTTTTTACCCACGGATTCCCCCCAACCCCACCCACTCTGAATGGCCCAAGGCAGGTGCCTGGCAGGGAGGCCCCTATCCTGTCCTGGATCACCTTCCATACTGAGCCTGGTGCATGCCAGGGGCCTTGGGAGGACCACTATTTAAGGGCCATCTCTGAGAGATCCCCAGGCCAGCTGCAGCTCCAGGGAGCTCTCCAGACCATGGTAGGCTGGGGTTGTTCTGCCTCTGCCACGGCCACCTTCCTTTCACCTCCACCTCCTCCCTGGGGAGCTCAGGCCTGTGGCTGTTGTGTCTTTGGCTTCAGCACTGCGGTCTCCTCCCTCCCACCCCTGACCCTGACCGTGACCCTGACCTTATCCGCAACTCCTTTTCTTTTTCAGACAGAATCTCACTCTGTCGCCCAGGATGGAGTGCAGTGGCTTGATCTCGGCTCACTGCAACCTCCGCCTCCTGGCTTCAGGTGAGTTTCCTGCCTCAGCCTCCTGAGTAGCTGGGATTACAGGCGCCCACCACCACATCCGGCTATTTTTTTTTTTTTTTTTTTTGTATTTTTAGTAGAGATGGGGTTTCACCATGTTGTCCAGGTTGGTCTGAACTCCTGACTTCAAGTGATCCACCCGCCTCAGCCTCCCAAAGTGCTGAGATTACAGGCGTGAGCCTCTGCGCCCAGCCTCATTTCTCAACTTTGACCTCATTCTGTGACCTTGACTCCGTGTGTGATTCTGACCTTCACCTCCTGCCTGAATTCACCCTGCCTCTCACTGACCTTCCTGACCTTGATCTCATGTTGTCCCTGGTCTGACCTCCTCTTCCCTCTTGATGCCGTGCCTGGACCTGCCCCACCTGGGACTCCTCTCCACATGGGTCCTGATTTGAGTCTCTGCATTCCTGAACTTGGTGGGGACTGCTGGAGAATGAGGAAGAGGAGGGTGGCGAGAGACGGGGTGGGCAGGGCCTGGGGGCTTCACAGGGGCAGTGGCTCTGAGGGCACGGGTCCCCTGGGAGGGCCGGGGGTCAGTGTTCGCGACAGCATGGCACCTCTGGAGCTCCGAGGTCCCCCTGCTCACCTTTGCCTGTGCACCTCATGTGACGTGGGACTTGCCCTGGGCTCCTGCCCCTGGGGACTCCCTGCAGGGTATCAATCTAGCTGTCCCTCTGTGCCTGCGTCTCACCTGCCTCATTAGTTAGTCCCTTTTGGCCCAGAGCTCTGACTCGGCTGTCAGTCTCGGCTTGTCACCTCCTGACTGCCTGAGGGCCTATATGGATTGCCTGTCTCCAGCGGGACTGTGAGCTTCTTGGGGACCAAGATGGGGCCTGATTCAGCCCTGGGTCCCCAGGACTGGGCATGGGCCTGCCTGGAGGTCCGCGTGTGTCTAATACATGTCCTGATGCGTTGAGGTCAATATGTTCTTGGTTTTACAAATGGGGAAACAGGCTCAGATAAGACAAGTGAATTTCTTAACATCACAGAGGCTGGGAGCAGCCACGCCAGGCTTTGAACCCGGATGCGGGTGACCCCCTTCTTCCCTGAGATGTTCCTCTCTGGGGAATTGTATTTTATAGGGGCCGTTCTCAAAAGGAATTTTCAAGACAGCTGAGCTGCAAAGACCCGAGGGTTTAGGACTCTCTTGCGCAGTAGAGAAAATGACCTCTCCCTCCGTCGTGGAGCTCTGGGACACTGTAGGGTGGGGGTGTAGCCAGGGGGATCATGAGAGCCTGGGAGCTTGGGGGACAGGGACTGAGGACGCCAAGGCCATGGCCAGGTCTGCCAGAGAAAGGGCAGAACCTCCCACAGACGGAAGTGATCATTTTTTATTAATCGGAGGAAATGTATATGTAATTATGTGAGATGAACTCTGCGGGGAAGTTCTTTTCTTTATGATGTCTGAAAGGATTTATAAATATTACAGAGGTTTTACAGCATCATAACGTTCCCGGCCGCCCTGGCAGCCCCCTTTCAAAGGATTAGTGGAGACAAGGCACCCAGTAAAAGCTAATTATAAGTCAGCCGGCACTTCTGCCCCCATCAGTCGAGGGCTCCTGGGCAGGGGTGGGGACAGCAGTGAGCTGGGGGCGGGGGAGACCACACAGGCGTTGGAGGGTGGGGAGCAGGGGATGAGGGGAATCCTCTGCTCTGGTGGGGGCGGGTAGACAAGGGCTTGGCAGGAGAGGGTGGTACAGGTTGTGATGGAGACAGGAGCTGGCGGTGGGAGCCCATGTCTGTGCCATCCCGTCCACCTCCCCCTCTGGAATCCAGCAATTCTTTTCCCCCATCAAGAGCCCATTCTGGGGCTCACAGCACCCCTGGGGGTTGTAAGGATGGCTGCCGAGGGACAGGACCCTCGGGGGTCTTGGGGACCTAGGGCATTCAGGAAGTGCCCAATAGTGGACTTCCAGACACCATGACATCACAGAGGCAGGAAGGCTGGCCGGAGACCATCTAACTACTCAACGTGGGTGGCCTCCTGCTTTGCCTGCTGCGTAGGTTGGCCCTGAGTTCTGGGCAGCTATTTCCAAGCATTGGCTGATCCCCACTTTGAACCAGGTTCAGGGTGGGGACAGGAGAGACCAGAGATGGGGCAAAGTGAGTTTTACCCCTGAGATGTCCACTTAGTCGAGGAGACAGACACACAGAGATACGCCAGGACAGTGTGATACATGCTGTGGGGGTGACAGTTCACAGTGGAGCGGGGAGGGGAGAATGACCTGGGGTCAGAGAAGGCTTCTCAGAGGAGGTGACAGGGAGCTGAGCCTACAGGATGGGTAGGAGTCTCTACATAGATTCTCCAGGGAAGGCATTGCAAGCAGGGAATTCCAACAGAGCAAGGCATTCCAGGCAGGGGCAAACGCCGGGAGGGAGGGCAGCTGTGGGACACAGCAGAGGGCCTGGGTGAGAGGGAGTAGCAGCTCCGGGAGGGGGCAAGAGGCAGATCCCGTCGGGGGTGCTAAGAGCTCAGTTGTTCTCTTGAGAACACGAAGAAGGTTTTTAGCAGGTGGTGATAAGGTCAGATTCCAGCTGTAGTGGAGGATGCTGGGGTGGAGATGGGGAGGCTGAAGGAAGAGATGCCTGCCTCTGCTCTGCAGTGCAGGCGCTGGCCGCCCACCTTCCGGAGCCCGGAGGACAGGGCCAGGAAGCAGCTGTCCAGCTCTGTGGGGGTGCACGCCATACAGGCTTCTTGTCATGGGCTGGGAGAACGTCCTGATTACCTGCAAGGCTTCAGGGGGAGCCTTGTCTGTCTGCTGTGGGCACCGGGGAGGGCAGAGTCATTCTGGACTGCGATGCCCTGGGAGGTGAGACAGGGGGTGGGGGCTGACCCTCGAGGCAGGGGCCGCTGCAAGGCGTTGTCTGGTACCTCGCAGGCACCGAGAAGAGCTCGGAAAAGAGCAGAAGGCACTGCCAGTTCCAACGTCTTCTCCATGTTTGATCAGTCCCAGATCCAGGAGTTTAAAGAGGTCGGTCTGCTGTCCCATGGGGCTGTTGTGAGGATTCTTGGAATGCATGCCAGTTGCTCAAGGAGCTGGGCAGAGGCTCAGTCCTCAGTCTCGGGGGGCTGAAGATGTCATTATTACTATTATTATTATTATTATTTTGTTTGTTTGACAGAGTCTGGCTCTGTCGCCCAGGCTGGAGTGCAATAGCGTGATCTCCGCTCATTGCAACCTCCACCTCACGGGTTCAAACAATTCTCCTGCCTCAGCCTCCCAAGTAGCTGGGATGCTGGGATTACAGACACGCACCACCATACCCGGCTAATTTTTTGAATTTTTAGTAGAGACAGGGTTTTGCCATGTTGGCCAGGCTGGTCTGGAACTCCTGACCTCAGGTGATCCACCTGCCTCAGCCTCCCAAAGTGCTGGGATTACAGACGAGAGCCACCGTGCTCAGTCCATTACTACATTTTTAAATGATCATAGTTTTTTGTTTTTTGTTTTTTTGTTTGTTTTTTTGAGACAGGGTCTTGCTCTGTTACCCAGGCTGGAGTGCAGTATTGCAGTCAGTGCTCGCTGAAACCTCAAATTCCTGGGCTCAAGCGATCCCCACCTCAGTCTCCTGAGTAGCTGAAACTACAGGCATACATCATTATGCCTGGCTAACTTTTTAATATTTTGTAGAGACAGGGTCTCATTATTTTGCCCAGGCTTGTCTCAAACTCCTGGCCTCAAGCAATCCTCCTGCCTCTGCCTACCAAAGTGCTGGGATTGCAGGCAGGAGCCACCATGCCTGGCCAATGACATTATTTTTTCAGGACACCATGGCCATGGCCCAGAGCCTGGGTGTGTGACCTGTTGCCCTTGGGCAGCCTCTTCCTCTCTCTGTACCTGACCCTGTGCTTGCTGTGTGACCTGGGGCCAGGCTTTTTTCTCTCTCTGCACCTCAGTTTTCCTCACTGTAAACTGGAGTTGCTGTGAGCCTGAAATGAGGGGTTGGGGATGGAGCACATCCCAGCTGGGCTAGCAGAGGGACCTGCCCTGAGGCTCCTTGGGCAGCAGTCAGCAGGAGGATGGTCCTTGCCGGGGACTGGGAGGGTGGGTGGCCACTCAGCACCTGTGTCTCTGCCAGGCTTTCACCATCATGGACCAGAACCGCGATGGCTTCATCGACAAAGAGGACTTGAGGGACACCTTTGCCGCACTGGGTGGGTGAGCCAGCAGCCGGGGGAGCTTAGGGCCGGGCCATCCGGAGAGAGTGGGCAGCTGGGGCCAGCGGGGCAGTGCTCGCAGTGGGCGTGAGAGGCTCCTGTGCTGGGGAGCGCAGGGGAAACACAGCCGCTGCCTGGAAAGTCAGGAGACCTTCCTGGGGGGTTGGAGAAGGACTCGGCCAGGGAAGGGGAGGACACTCCAGGGACAGGAGTAGCAGCATGGGCCTGGGCCTGGTGTAGGTGGCCCTGGGTGTGGGCAGGGGCCAGGAGAGCAGGGGAGAAGCTGAGTCGGAGGGAAAGACCCAACTCCCAGGTTGAGGTTTCTGCCCCCTCTAAGGCCCCAGGGAAGAGCCTGAAGTTGCCTATGCGGGGTTTAGGTGGCGGAACGGACGTAACCAGGCCCTCAGCCCCTGGGAATCTGAGTGTCCCCTGGAACCACGGGGAATCCCAGCATCCAGGCATCCACTGATCCCCTCCTGGGGCACAGGAATCCTGAACCTGCAGCCCCTGTGCACCTCAGCTGCAGCTTCTTGGGCCTCAGTTTCTTCACCTGTAAAATGGGGATGAGAGTGACTTGCTCCCCATCTCATGAGGCTGGGGGTAGCCGGAAACTGACTGTGGCCCAAATGTCCCCCAAAGAGTCCCCCAACGAGGGGGCAGGGCTTTAGGGCTGAGTGGGGGACATGTGGGACGGCTGAGTGGGGAGGCTCTGTGGGACCCTCCAAGGCCCAAGCTCTGTTCTCTCTTATCTTCCCGGGCGGCCCCACCTCTCACCTCCCACAGGCCGCATCAATGTCAAGAACGAGGAATTGGAGGCCATGGTGAAGGAGGCCCCTGGACCCATCAACTTCACGGTGTTCCTGACTATGTTTGGGGAGAAGCTGAAGGGTGAGCCAGGCTCTTGGAGTCCTGGGGGATGGCGGGGAATGGCAGGGGGATGTGTGTGGAAAGTGGGGGGCCTGACACACACACACCACAGGTGGGAGCATGATGTGGCCCCAGACACCAGCCCCCGGGTGCACGCACCTTCAGGGGCCCTGCCTCAGTTTCCCTCTCTTCACCACAGACTGGGGTAACCGTAAAGACTCCTGCTTTGGCCAGGCATGGTGGCTCACGCCTGTAATCCCAGCACTTTGGGAGGCTGAGGCGGGCGGTTTGCTTGAGTCCAGGAGTTTGAGACCAGCCTGGGTGATATAATGAAACTTCATCTCTACTAATACAAAAATTAGCCAGGCATGGTGACACATACCTGTAGTTCCAGCTATTTTGGAGGCTGAGGTGGGAGGATCGCTTGACCCTGGCAGGTGAAGGTTGCAGTGAGCCGAGATCACACCACTGCACTCCAGCCTGGGTGACAGAGCAAGACCCTGTCTCAACAACAACAACTAAACCCTGCCTTTAACCCCTTTGCCCACCATCAGGACAGTGCTCCCCATCCCACTGCCCCCAGCCATGCTGCTTCCCTACCTTCCTACCTGTGGGCTCCTTTTGCCTGCTCTGCACATGGGGCTGGGGGGACAGGCAGAGGATGCTGGAGGGAAGGTGTTTCCAAAAGATGCTGTGGTCGACCCCCATGCAGAGCGAGTTACTCCCCTTGTCTTTTTCTGTGGCCACTGGAGCCCCCGGAGGAAGGATCAGGGAGCCTCATTCACAAATGAAGAGACTCAGACCCAGAGGAGTCACGAACCCTGCCCCAGATGCCCCAGCAAAAAGTGGCCGGGATGGAACCTCAACTCCAAACCCTGGCTCTAACCACTGTACCCGCCTGAGACACAGCATTAGGCGTGGGGTGGAGGGTTGGGGCCATCTGTGTCCTCTTTCTGTCCTGGCCCCAGGGGAGCTCTCCCATAGGGACGTCCTGGAGCTTGAGAGTTCCATGGTTAGAAGGAAGGGCCAAGGCTGGGCATGGTGGCTCATGCCTGTAATCCCAGCACTCTGGGAGGCC